GAGAAGTGCTCACTAACACAGATTTAGACAGATTTGTGAACAATATTTGAGAGAAATAGGCCTTTTGTGTACATAGAAAAAGTCTTAGATCTTTGAGTTCAGCTCATGAAAAATGGGGGCAAAAACAAAAGTGTTGCATTTATAATTTATAATTGTGTAATTAAAAAGTCAAATTTATCAGAAAATATTCTTTAGAACAATGCATCTTTAATCATTAACCAAGTATATACTGTATATAATAAATGACCCAAACATATATATATATATATATATATATATATATATATGGGTCTATTACAAATGTACCTGACGCCTGTCTCTGTATGTCCTTCGCTGGAGCAGTCATGAGAGCGTTCTTCTTCAGTCACATCAGGATGTGGCTTCTTGCTATTAAACTTCACCACGTGTACTAAAACACACAGAATACAAGGAGATAAATACACGAAATAACAAGAATGTAGTTTTCTCATTTATTATCTCTAGCCCCCTCTCACTCTTCCTTCTACACAATCATTTCAATATACAGCAAAATGTCTGACAAGAAAATCTAGGACTTTTTTCTCCATTTCAACCTGGAACTAAACTTTTTTTTTTTCTCATGCATTATTTCATTTACACTCTCGTTCTTATTCCAGCTCCTCTTTTAACATAATAAACAGGGAAAGTTTTTACCATTGAAAAATGACATGCAGAACTGTGCCAGACAGAAATGTTGATGGCTGTGGTGTGTGTCTGACGACGCAAGACATGCTTTAACGTGGGATAGGTGTGTGAAGACACACGTTCAGCATGTATAAGCAGGAGTCACGCTCAGCGCAGATATCCTTCACCATAAGGTGTGGTAGTAGACGCGTGGCTAGTGTGTGTTTTGTGAGCGTGTGAACACAGGGCAACTGTGTGATTTCACACGTCACTTCCCTCCTCTCTCACACCTTTAATGTGCCTTTCAATCAGCAAACTTTCACTCCCTACACTGCAACAGAACAACTAGTTCAAGCCAATTCAATCAGAATCTGAATTAAAGACTCTAGAGTGTACAATATGTGCATTATGTCAAAATATAGCAGATTGGGATAAATAAATAGTGAAAATTGTTTGGATAACTGGAAACCACATTACCCTTCAAAAGCATTAAAATATTGACAAAATATTGACGAAATTGACAGCAAAGATTTTAAAAGTTTACAAATAAATTCTCTTTTAAATAAATGCTGTTCTTTTAAATTTTCCATTTGTCAAAAATATTAAAATAAATGAATAAAATGAAATAAAAATAAAATAAAAATGTTAAGCAGCACAACTGTTTTCAACATTAAGACATCTTGGGCACCAAATCAGCATATTAGAATGATTTCTGAAGGCTCATGATTAGAATTATCACACTGAAGACTGGAGTAATAGCTACTGAAAACTTAGCTTTGCCATTACAGGAATAAACTGTATATTATCAAAAAAATACCCAAAAATAAATTGTAATAATATTTCACAATATTACAGTTTTTAAATGTAGCTTCGATCAAATAAAATGCTGCCTCAAGCATAAGAAAGATCTTTAAAAAAAAAAAAAAAAAAAAGTAAGAAAGAAAAGAAAAAAAAGAAAAAGAAAAAAAAGTTGTACCAACCCTAAACTTTTGAACAGTAGTGTAACTAAAGTATTTCTAGTGATGTACTTTTAACATTAAACAAAGCTTTGCCAAAGTCTCTTTGAGGCAGGTCGAGTTGCTCAGTGGCCATCTTGTCAATGTCCCCAGGCAACAATTTTCTATTCAAGCACATAAAAATTATTTCTAGGCACATACCTACTGCCACTGGTCAATCAAAACGGGTAGTATCATTCCAAAATTGTGCCACTGTGTTGAGTCATTAGCAATTGTTCTATCTGAGAAAAATCAGAATCTAAAGAATTTGCGAATAAAGCATAATTTTCATCCCATGTATTCAAAAGAACAAATTCGTACTTGCAAATGAACAGCAAATGAAATAGAAGTTGTATCCACATGTGTAGCCAGTTCAGCTTTTTTATTAAATGTAATATTACTTGAGGTTTACGGTGCATACACAAACTGCTCAAAAGACCTTCAAATTTGGTACCAATTGACAGCAATTGATAGATGCCTTATGTCTTGAGCAACACTATGTCAGTTCTGACTGATGACAAAATGAGCAACATTTGAGATGTTATGAGATGATACTACGTTTCTGCATTCTAATATTGAAATTATTACATACTTCACCTTAAAAATGAGTAAGATAAGTATAATGTGTGCCTTAGGAGCACATATTTTTAAACATATCTGTCAAAAGATAATCTACAAATCAAAGTGGAAAATATCTCAGGGTGTCTAAATACATTATAATTAGACCATAATCACCAAAAACAGTAACACACATACACAAACACCTCAGCGTTGTTCCAGACCCACACCTGGCCAACCCATCACAAACAAACCAATCAGATAAAACTGCTCTTTCTTCAATCACCTGCAGGAAATGGGGGGCAACAGGCCATTGAGTTGGGCAGGAAGGAGATCAGGGAATCCCTCTTTAGAGATAATGCACACCTTTTCTCTCGCACTGAAGTGCCATATAAGCGCAATCTATAATAGTAAATGAAGCTCAAGCAGTTATTTGAGACAAATACAGTGTGTATGTGAGTTTAGATATGTAATGCTGGAAGGTTATTAAGGGTAATTTGCCAGTTCTGTCACCACACATCAAGAAAAGCCTTTAAAGAATGTTTTTAAAGAGAAAGAGTGACAGTCTTTCTGATATACGCGTCACATTCCTTATATCTTCGCTAAACAGTAGTGCTTCTCTCCACAAAAGACTACCGTAAAAATAAACACCATTACAATAATGGTCAATAATTCATGACATTTGCATTCTAACACAATGTTGCACAGAAGTTCAATGCATAGAATTTTTTTGCACTTTTGTGCGACATATCCAAGCTCTTAGAACTCAAGCAACTGAAAGGCATTTGATTCTAGAACTCTGAAAAATTATGTGCACTTTAAGTTCCCCCAAGTATCATATATCTGCATTCCACACTAATGCCATCGTTGAGCACATTTGGACATGACGGGGACCGAGCGCATGTTGTCCGTGCATCGCGGTAAAACAATGCAGGTCCCAATCACCTCCCTCGCCCCCTTTGAAGGGCCCTAAACTTCCTTTGAAGTGCAGAGGCAGCATTCGGCCCATACAGAACGCTACATTCATGTTCAAATGAAGAGAGAAAGGCAGAGATACAACATCACAGAGGACACTTCAAAGACCCTGGAGCATGACTCTGACCTAACTGCACCTTCCTCTAGGAAGGGGACAGAGAGATGGATATATGGATAGGAGGAGATAAACGGTGGTTAAATGGATAGAGATCACTCGTTAGCACAATAAATGTGCGGCAAATAAAGGGTACTGGATTGAGACCTGGGGTTATTATTTTGGGAATAATCTCACGTGGGAAAGAACAGGAAAGTTTCTTAAATTTGTAGATGTAGCTACATCCACATATAACGTCTACAGCCACTTTTCTTTTTTTATATTTAACATAGCTTATTAAAATTATATTAACAGCATTATTTGAGTGAAAAGTTTCAGAAAAAAATCAGAATTTGGTCAATTGTATTTGCAGCAGTTCTCAAGAATAATGAACTCTTCTGTTGATCATGTTATTCATAAGATAAGCAAAAACAGAAAAGGTGCAGAGTTTTAAATATTCCTTATTAATTATCACATCACAATGTTTGTATTATTATTATCCTTATCATTATTTTTTTTTCCAAATCCTGAAATTGTTATTTCCAGATTGTGGACCATTTACTCACATACACTACCATTCAAAATCTAGGGCTGGTAAGATTTTTAAATGTTTTTGAAAGTGTTTTTGAAAGAAGTCTCTTATGCTCTCCAAGGCAAAGCTGAATTCTCAGCAGCCATTACTCCAGTCTTTAGTGTCACACGATCCTTCAGAAATCATTACAATATGCTGATTTGGTGCTGAAGAAACATTTCTTCTTCTGATTATTATTATTATCAATACTGAAAACAGTTGTGCTGTTTAAAACTTTTGTGGAAACTGTTACACTTTTTTTTTGTAATTATTTGATGAATAAAAAGTTGAAAAGAGCAGCATTTATTTGAAATAATCTTTTATAACATTATAAATGTACTTACTCTTACAATTTGATCAATTTAATGCATCCTTGCAAGATAAAAGTATGGTTAGTATTAATAATTAAAAAAAAAAAAATCTTACTGACCCCAAACTTTTGAACGATTGTGTATACACATAAAAATACACATCAAAAACATCTACCTTGCCTCATGCATAATTCACTGAGTGATATACGAGACATGAGGTGATATCTGCTGATAGACCTCACTGAGAATGAAGTGAGCGAGTGAGGGTGTGTCTTTATAGATAACATGTGGTCAAGCTTCACTTCACTAATCATCTCTGGAATCCAGGCACTGATACAAGAATGTGTAAGTGTGTGTGTGTCAACATTAAAGACAATGCCATGGTGTATTAGGGTGGGGTGGATTCAGGTTGCCTTTGGCAAAGATGAGCCGTGTGTCCATAACAAGATTCTTACCCCCACATATGGTCTTTCTCTTAGACATTCTCTAAAATATTTCCCCTTTTCTCCACCTCTTACCACGGGAGAGCAAAGAACTATTATTTTATCATATGGAGCACATAATGCGAGTAAAAGAGGATGAGAGGGACAACGGCTGCCTGGTATGTTTCTAAAGGGGGTAAGGACAGAAGCTTGGGTATTGTAATGCATGCTGGGGGAGGTGTGCATGTACTGTACTTGTGGCAACTATTTCTTGCAATTAGCCATCAAAACGAGTGCATTTTTGTGAGTGGTAGCAGGAGATATTTTCCAAGTCCAGAAACAGAAGTGATTGCAGTTGCATATCATGATAGGCTTCAAGTTGTGATTTAAATTCAGAAAGTGAGGTTATTGTCCTCAGTGCCAGTGGTAAATAGTTCCATAGCTTAGGAGCTATGACAGAAAATGACCTGCCTGCCACCCACTGAAGATAGACAAATCTATGTACAGTAAGAAGGTCACACCCTGAGGATCGAAGTGATCGAGACAGTATTTAAGGAGAAAGTAAGTCAGAGAGACAGCAAGGAGCAAGACCATTGAGTGGTTTAAAGGATTTTAAAGAATATTGTAAATAATGTGCGATGATACAGGCAGCCAGTGTAGGTTAAATAACATGGGGGTGATATGAGCAGATTGTTTAGAGTGGGTTAATATTCTTGCAGCATAATTTTGAATGTATTATAAGTGAGAAATATAGTGCACTGGCAATCCAGCAAAAAGAGCATTACCGTAGATGAGGTGCGATGTAAAAAAAGTGTGCACTAATGATTCAGCATCTTTTGGGCTGACATAATAACGAAGTTGGGCTATACGGTGAAGCTGGAGAAATGCAACTTTAGAAAGTTTACTAATGTAAACAACCAGGGTCAGCAAAAGATCAAGAGTAATGCCCAAACTTCTGACAGTGGCATATGGAAAAATTGTTGTAGCATCTAGGTTAAAGCTGGGAACATTAGTTACATTTTTTGTTAGATTTAGGAGGCCAGTAATCAAATTTTCGGTTTTGCTCAAATTCAAACTTAGAAAATTGGAATTTAGCCATGTCTTTAAAGGGGTCATATGATGCTTTTTTAAAGATCATTATTTTGTGTATTTGGTGTAACAGAATATGTTGACATGCTTTAATGTTCAAAAAACACATAATTTTTCAAATACTGTACATTATTGTAGGTCATATATGCCCCGCCTCTCTCAAACGCTTCGTTTTCTACAAAGTCCCTTCTTCCGACAAGCGCAGTCTGCTCAACTTCAGGGATCTTATCTATGCACAATCAGCTTGTATTAAGATACAAGATAACACATAGATAATGTTGTGGTCTGGTGGATAGAATCTGAATGGCAAGCAGCATATATTGAAACATAACAGTGATTATGAAAACTCTAACAATGAATTATATGTCCAAGAGGCATAATGTAAATAAAAAATAGTAATGGCCCAATAACAGAGCCCTGGGGAACACCCAGTCTGAGTAAAGCAGTGGGAGATTTATAATTGTGCAAAGCAATGTAGTATTGTCTATCTGTAAGATAGGAAGACAACCAGGATAATGCAGCACCTGAGACACCTATCTCTGAAACTAAGGCAATAGAGCAATAACTTGTGACAGACAGTATCAAATGGTCAAGTAATAGGAGAATTGAAAGATCACCTGAGTCACCAGAAAGTTAGAGATCATTGACAACCTTTACTAAAGCAGTTTCAGTACTGTGATGGGAGCAGAAACCAGATTGAAATATGTCAAACTGATCATTAAGAACTAGAAAAGACTATAGCTGAGTGGCAACAACCTTTTCCAAAATTTTGGAAGCAAATAGTAAATTGGAGATAATTAGTGAAATCTGCTGTATCTAAGTTTTTTTTTAAGAACAGGAATAACTGCAGCAGTTTTGAGTAAAATTGGAACAGTGGCATAGATAAAGGACACATTTACAAAGTATGAGATAGGAGCAGAAATTACATAAGTAAAGTGTTTCAAAAGGAATGTGGGTGCAGGATCTAACCGGAATGAGGAAGTATTAGAGTTATGTATTATTTCACTAATTATGGTTGGATTAGTCAAGGTAAAATTATTCACATTTGGATAGACTGAACTTGCTCACAAGTATGTTTACCAAAACATATGATGATGTGAGCTACGAAATGACCAATGTTTTCTTCAAATACAGAAAAAAACCACATAATTACACTGTCAGAAGGACAAAAAAAATCAATGTCTAAAATAAAATAGTGCAAAAACTAGTTTCAAGGCCAGTGGGATATACTTAATGCTATTGGCAGGTGTGGCAAAAAAGAATTCTGGACCCCATGTGTGTGCATATGAATGCATAGAGAAAAAACAGAAGGTTTTGTGTATGATTTTGTGTTATTCACTACACAGAAATGTGATTCAGAATGAACTATGAACAAATCTTGTGTGAGAGTACCTGCATATCTAAGCAAGCATATAACTGACAGCAGTAGCTCCAGACAGATGATGGCCAACAGAAGATATACAGAAAGATTCTTCACATTTGCATCCAGCAGAGAAGATGGAGCAATTACAATCAGGATCAGTGCATTACCTGTGTAAGGGAGAAAAAAACAGATCAATACTGCATTATATTAGCAACGGATATCAATTACTGTTAATCACTAGTTAGAAGTGTAAATATTTACTTGATTATGATTTAATTTGATTAGGCTTCTTTACTAAATGATCAATATATGAATATTTTTCTGCAGCCATTATTCCAGTCTTCAGTCTCACATGATCTTTCAGAAGTCATTCTAACCTGCTGATTTGGTGCTCTAGAAACATTTAATATTATAATTATCAATGCTGAAAACAGTTGTGCTCTTTAATATTTTTGTGGAAAGTGTGATACCTTTTTTAGGATTCTTTGATTAATAGTAAGTGCATAACAGCAGCATTTTTTTTAAAGATTTTTTTGTAAAACAATTTAAAAATCTTTGTCACTTTTGATCTATTTAATGCAACTTTGCTCATTTCTTAGGGGGGAAAATCAATTCTTATTAGTTTCTTAGTAAAAAAAAAAAATTGGAATGGTAAATTATAAAATGAGAAAAAAACTATAAACCAGGATTCAGTCATTTAAGATTATAAATGAAAGCAATTGTGCATCAGTTATTACATTTCAAATTCAATGTATATTTAAAGTTACAATAATAGCTTCTGAGCTGCCATCTAGTGGTCATTTGTGAAACAAAACAGGCATATGGACACGTGACTGAGAGAGGACTTCAATTAGCATTAGCACGTTTTTCATGGAGATTCACTTTATGAAGTGGCAAAGAAAACCAGGAGTCGAATATTAACATAGTGTGAAACATCTTTTCACCTGCAGAGTGAATGAGCAGTGGAAGGTTTTTTATTCCACGGGTCAGTCTGTAGAAGTCCAGATAACCTCTCCGTCTCACTGTGCTATGGTGATGCTGGACAAATCTATCATATATGAAGACCATCACCCAGAGTGCAACTTTTCCCAGTAAGATCACAGTCTTGGAGTCAATGCCCTGCAATGCTGCAGTGCACTCAGGAGTGTGCTCATCAGATATCCAGTAAAATACTGTGATTACAATGCATAAAACCACATAAACCACCTGCAAACCAGAAACAGAGAAATTACACAAAAAGCACACCGTGAATGCGGTACTTGTGTAGTGTGTGTGCTAGATTCATGTACAAAGACTTAATTTAAGGTTAAAGATTCTTAAAGGGGTCATATGACGTTGCTAAAAAGAACATTATTTTATGTAATGAAATGTGTTTATGCGGTTTAAGGTTAAAAAATTACATTATTTTCCACATACTGTACATTATTGTTTCTCCTCTATGCCCCGCCTGTCTGAAACGCGTTGATTTTTACAAAGCTCATCGGTCTGAAAAGCGAGGTATGCTCTGATTGGCCAGCTATCCAGTGCATTGT